TTTCTCGTTGCCCTGAGGAATAGAAATAAGTTCATAAACAAACTGGCAACGTTGTATTAAGTCTGTTTAATTAAAAAATACAGATGCTAAAAATGTTCTTATGGCTTGCAAATGCCACTCTGCCAAATTGCTTATGAACTTTTTTTATTTGAATTTGTCGCTCTTACTCCATGGTTTGATTAACTTTATTTATTAATTTTCTTAGATATCTGTCCATCAAATAAAAAAGAATAAATGAATTTGTTGCCGTTAGAATATTATTTCCATTTTCTGAAAACGGTTATTTGAATCTATCGTTCTAATAAAGTAAAATGATGCTATTAATAAACCTTCCAAGCTGTTTTATTTTTCTTATTATTATTTGTAACCCATTTGTGTTAAATATAGATTGAATATGTACACTGTCTATCATATCGTAAATTTTTAGAATTATTTTTCGATAGTATAGGATCTTATTTTTAAATGCTACCCTTAAAAATAATTTTTTCTTTCAATAAACATGAAGTTAACTATAGTTCATAAATATAAATCAAATTTAATCTATAAGTTTTCAAGAAATAATCATAATTTAACGAAAAAATGATATTCTTAATAAATCACTTTGTATGTGTAACTAAAAAAAATTTTCGTAATTATTTTTGTTTTGTAAGTGAGTGAGTTATGATAAAAAATGTTCATCAATTAATTATGAAAATACTTTGTAAAAAAAAAGTGGTGCTTAAAGCTATTTAGCATTTATTAAGGAATAACTTAAATCTTAGCAAGATTTATTATATATAAAAGAATATTACTAATTTTAGTAGATCATTAATTTTAAAATGGAAAAAAATAAAAAAAAATATAAAAATAGATCTATTTTTATTAAATAAATATTAATAAATATTAATTTACAAAATAAAATGTTCTGTGTTATTAATATGTTCCTATATTCGTTAATTAATTTCTTATTAAACTTGCCCAAATTCAAATGTTTATATTTTCAATTCGGACTTCATTTTGATGGTATAATTGGGAGAAATTGAAATTAATTTAGTTGGATTTGAATTTGTTTTTCGAAAATTTAACTTGTTTTGCTTGAATTAATGAAATTATTAAAAGTATTATTATTTGACTATGTACACCCTCAAAAATTAAAGTTAATCAAAGTCTTACTCCAGATATATTATCTATAATATTTTGAACCAGTAATATAAAATACAATTTTAGTTAGGTGACATAGTTTTTACATACTAAATATTAACATTTTAACGATACAAACATAATTTAAATAAAAGACTGCTGGTTGAATTTTAACAAATGCATCCTTGGAATTAAATTCACCTGTTGTGGTTAATAAAACAAAAATACAGTTTTCAAACAAATGCTAGATGTAGTGAGTTATTTTAACTGCAAAAGTCAAAACAAAGTTTAGATAAAAAGAGTTTTTGCAGGATGAAAATAAAAAAAAAATTTATTGCACAAAAAAGAAATTAAAAATAAAGTTTACTTCTTCCTCAATAAATTTTGAAATATATAAAACACAAGCTTATTTAATAGTATAACTTGTTTCTCAATTGACAATTTAACCACTCTGGAAAGCTTTCAGATGTTACAAGTAACTTAATACAACGCTAATTGTTTTACGATGGCGAATACACTACACACCTTCAATGCTAACAATAAATTTGAAAATTTGATTTTATATAAAAGTATTATTATTAGCATTCAAAATTTTTACGTTGTATTATGTATTTTAATAAAAATATACCTGTCTAATCATGAGTCATAAAGACCTTAAGAAATTTCTATTACATTCCAGATTCTAAAACATACTTAGAAAAAAAACTGATTAAATATAATGTAAATAGTCTTAGAATATTAAAAATTAAATGGTAACGACTTTAGTTTCGAAATTAGCTCATAACCAGGTTATTATTAAAAATAATAACCTGATCAAATATTGATGCTTAGTCAAATATAGAAATATATAAATGTACATGTAAAATGTCTAGCTAGTTTTACAAAAACTCTCATTTATACTATTTACAAATTTTGTTTACATTTATGCACAATTATTTTTTTTAAATACAAATATTATACACAAAATATTGTCACATTCATCTCAATATTTATACAAATACATTACTTTTCTAAATTGTTTTCAGTGTATATTTTTTAATAATACTTGACATCTATCAAAGTTACGATTTAAATACACTTTTTAATCATTATGTGCTTTCATAAAAGCACATATGCATATTTTCAGTCATTCTATAAATCTAATCGTGTGATCAATTGAATAAAAAAATTTAAGTGCTATCATATTTTTAATGATGATGATTGTATTTATTTTCTGTCAAAATTAGTTTCATTAGATGAATTTATTTTTAACAACCATAAATTATATTAAGGCAATGTCAACATTCATGATATGTTATATACAAAATACATCTTATATTTTTTTTCAGATTTTTTTTTTATTTTTTAAAATGTCAGCCAATAATTTTATGTAATATTGATTGAATGTTAGTTGATATTTGTTGAATAATGTATATGAATTTTATATTCAGTGTCTGTCATTTATTTGTACTAATTTCGAAAGTGTTCAAAGTGGTAGATCTTTAGTATTTATAAATTCGGAATAATCTACACTCAGAATGAATAATTCTTTCAACATTTTATAAAGAACATATATTTTTTATTGTTGATGTACTACTATAATATTCATCTACGCAGCTGTTTCATTATTATTATTATAAAATAATATAAACATTTTTTTTGTGTTTACATTCTAATCATTGTATTCGAAGAACATTGTGTCTTTTTAAATAACAACAATGTTCACTTTATTTTTATCTTAAATTATATATTTTTGTGTAAGAATTCGTTATTTGTTCATTTTAAACGTTAAAAAGTTTTGATTGTATTTATAAAGCAAAAACAGTTACAAGTTGTCCAAACTGCATTCATAAAAAAAAAGAGGTGATCTATAAAAACGAATCACAGTATTACTCAAGAAAAAGTTTCAAGTACAAGATAAGTTTACCTAACAGGTTTTATTGGACCTTCACAAACCATACTGCCTATTAAATAGAGTTTATTGAACTATAAAAATTAATTTAAGTTTTAATTATTATAATTTCCAATGTTTTATAAATTATTTGCTTTTTCACTGTTCAAATTTTAGTATTTAATATAGGTCGGTTAATTTTTCCAACAGTATTATTACCCAATTAATTTGATCAATAAAACCGCAGTATCAACGTAATTGACGACAGTTGCTACCTTTTTTCTAATTAATTACTGTGAAATATTTTTGATCATTATTTTACGTAACAGTATATTGGAAACTTTATCAATATTATAAATTGTAGATAATTTGATCTACACTACAAATAATTTATCATTTTAATGGGTATTACGAACACACAAATGAATATTACGTAATGACTTGATTTTACAGCACATTATTTGTTGTATTCTAAAAAGAAATGTTTAGATATCTACATGTACTAAAAACATTAAAAAGTATAATAAATAGGGAACAAAGATCTTGTGAATAGAACTTTTATTGTTAAGATCCAAATAATATGAAATGTTGTTGCTGTTTTTTATGTTATTTTTTGGTATTTAAATATTAGAGACATAAGTTAGCTAATATCATTTTTTTAAAGGAATGAATTAAAATATTTACAAAAAATGTTCTACTATTGTGACAATTTTTATATTTTCAATTTTCAAAAGATTATTTTCGAAAAAGCTCATGTATAATTTTTTTTAATAATTAGTTGGAATATTATATTTCAGTGAATATAGATGTACATTTTCGTTGAAAATTGTGAGAAATATTACTTGAACTTACTACATAAGTAACCGTTACAACTACTTTTGAGATCAAATTTGCAGTCACCAAAATTGGCAATTTGATATATTTTAGTAAACATTAACAACCATTAAGTTATTTTACATGTATAATTTTAGGTCTCTAAGTAAAATGAAGAGGGATTCAAAATGTTTAGCTTACAGTAAAATTATTGACAGTAAATAGAAAAGTCAAGATAGTTTTCTTTTAAATTCAAGTTCAGTACTTTTCATTAAATTTTGAATGTTATCATATAAAAATCTTTAGAAAGTAATACATCAATAAATATTGCTTAGATAAATATAAAACTATTATAGAGAAAACAAACTTTTTTTTGTGTGAAATAAATTAACTAAACCAAGTAACTTAATTAATGAGTTGATATTTTTTTTAATGTAAACTACTCCAGTTAACATTTTTTGCTCAAATAATTTTACACTGTCATTTTAAAAATCTTAGTTTTTATGTTGGAGAAAAATTCGTTCTATTTGTTCCTGCTGTGTGTTCAGTAAACTTGGCATGGTATACTCAGTCTCAGTATAAAAAACTTCGTATTATATTATAATACATGTCAATAACATATTATATTCATAAAATCGTTACAGTACAATGGTAGTATCGTAACGAATAGATTTTCTTTTGTTGTGCAATACATAAAATAGTGTAGTCAAACTTGTAACAAATTAAGATCACTTTGACATTTAATTGAGAATAGTAAACACGTGACAAGCATAATTGAGATTTGTGAAACAATGATTCGACATCCGATTAAGAAATCTACGTCGTCTTTTATTCAGTTGATAATTCAATGAAATTGATTGTTTTTAGACGGTATTATCAATTTGATTATCTCAAATCAAATTAAACTTTTTTCATTTAATAAATAAGTACAGCATATAAAATAAATATACATTAATTTAACTGTAGATTATTATCAAAAATGATGTTAAGTATTTTCAAAGTGATAATAAATTAATACGAATATAAAACACGTTTTTAATGATTTAAAAAAACGTGGGGTTTAGTATTAAATATATTTGTATAGTAAATTTTTTTCAAGTTTATTTAAATATCTTTATTATCATAAAAATAGCTGGTGAAATAAATTAATATAAATTATTACTGATATGCTTATATACATTTTTTTTTTTTTTTGTAGGAAACTTTTTCTTCATTTACGGTCGACCAGATACGCCAAATATTTACTTAAGGAGTCCATATTACATAGATGGTATATTTGACAATAATGGATGTTCTTTGTCGTTTCAAATGCATACAAACGTTACTATGCCTAATCAAGTGTCAGTAATGCTTAGGACTGAAAATTACACTTCACTAATTCAAGACAACGTTGAAAACAATACACCAGTGTATGTATTTATATTAAATTGTACACAACATTAGAATAATTTAAACTGTAATCTAAGATATTCTCCAAACTATTTTTTTTAATACAATACAATACAACACAATATATACTGTAAGAATAATAATGACACGGTTTTATATTATGTAAGTATACTTACATTTGTATCAAAGGTAATTGTGTTAAAATACCTTACACAGTCATACATTATCACGCTAAACTGGTAGGTTTGTTAATTTTTTACCAGATTTTCTGTAAGATTTTTACCAATAAAATTTTTCATTGTGCATGTAGTTTTTGTTCTCTCCAATTGTATGTCATGAGCAATTTTAGTTTTAGGACATATTTCTTTAAAAAGTCTTGTAAAATGGTTAACTGTTGACACGGCCAGTAATCGAAAGTGTATTGGAAATCATATATAAAAAAAGAGACATAGTATGGGATTAAAGAACCCTTGACCCAAGACATCTCAAAGACAAACCTTACCACTAGACAAACACGAATTTATGATTCATGTTCCGGTACACTTTCGTATAGGTTGATAACTTAACGCGTGGCTAAGGAAAACACAGTACCAAAGCAATCGTGAATAAATAATAATGACAACTTAAAATAATCGGTTAGCCTTTAATTCTAAAAAAATCTGATCAAGTGTTCAAACAGTCTGTTGATTTGATAAAAATTAATTAAAGCTATAAAATTTACCACAACAAAGTAGAAATTAAAGTTAAAAAAAAAAATGAATTAAACATGTTAAACTGAATTCTGAAAACAATATAGGTATCCAAGAGAAACGACACGCTTTTTAGATTAGAATTAAAAATTTAAATGTAATAATATAAACTTCAAAAAACCTATATCTCAACTAAAAAATGTATAAAATCTGCCACGGCATAAATCACAACTGCATAATACTAACACAATACATCATAGTAAGACAAACTCTATTGTCTTTGGATTTTACTTTTAAAATTTGAATTTTTATCTTTAGAAAATGGGAAAAGAAAAAGGTATTATTGGGTCGACAAACTAGGCAAGTGATTATTGAGATAATTACAAAACCGGGATCTCATGTTGGCATCGACGACATTAAACTTGAAAACTGTTTACCAGGTAATTTAAACAAATAATATTATTCCTGTACGTCCCCACATAACTCTCTTATTTGAAGCTGTTGACAGCTATTTTGTTAGGCAAGCTTAACAGCTTATACAAAACGTTATTGTCTTGTTTTGGTAAAAGGTTTGACGCTTTTATTAAGTATTACAACCTTAAAGTATTATGCGGGATTTACTGTTTTTTTAGAATACATTGCCGGAATAACCGATAGTGGCTGTCCTACAGTTTCACATTTTTTGTGCGCTGATAATACGACATGCATTCCACACCATAGGGTTTGTGATATTAGTCCTGATTGCCCTGATGTAACGGACGAGAGTGAAAGTTGCCGTGAGTCTTAAGATATTTGATTTTAAAGTAATAAAATAACATGGACTTGTTTGTATCGGTGATTTAATCTTGTTTATAGCGTTATAAAAATAATAATTTTAGTTATCATTAAAACTTGTTATTGTTATTTCATTTTAATTAAGTTTTATTTGTATGCTAAAAGAATGTTTGTATTATAAAATATTCATATTATTTGAAATAATATTTTTTGTTATTCCGAAACTTTTTTGAGAACGGAACAAAATTAAAAGTAATTGCTATAATTAATTTATAATTTAATTTTCATTTGAAATTTATTCAAATAAATTGAATAATTATTAAACGGGAAAAAACTATTTAATAATTAATGAAAATATTTAATTTTAACATTGTAATACTAAAATATATATATATATATTCATAGTAAAAGTACCACCAGAAGCTCGCTGTACATTTGAATCTGGATTTTGTGGTTGGCAAAATACAAGTGAAGAAATGATGCTCACGTGGAAGCTTAATAAAGGAGATCGTCAAAAGTTTACTGGGCCCAAATGGGACAATACTTATCAGAATCGGTCTGGTAAGAGCAAATAATGTTTTTACTTAAACAGAATTTTTACCTAATAATTGCATTTTAACTAACATTGTTTATTCAGGTACTTACGCTTACGTAGACATGTCTGGACCTACACATTTAGGGTCAGCAGCACGTATGGAAAGTGTTCACTTCCATCCACCTCCGCCATTCATCTCTGATCCAGAGTCCAAATATTACAATTCCTGTTATGTATGTTAATCAAATAAAAATAATATTAAAACAATTATGTGGGTACTTAAAATTGTATTCAATTTCGTATTTCATATTTTAAAATTAAAAAAAAAAACCTTGAATTATTAAAATGAATGTTTTTCCTCATTCTTAATTAGTTAATTAAGATAACTAAAAAACGTTTGAATTTAATTATTTTAATGAACCATTATCATTTCAAAGGAAATATCGCAAAATTTAAACTTAACTAACTGTATTCTTTTGATGACTGTAAATAACAAATATTAAACTCATAATTGTGTATCATTGCAAATTACGTACACTCGAAGAACTTTGATTGTATTTGCAGAAAAACGATTTTTAATATTTACTAACTAAAAATTATTTCTTGGCAGAGTTTATTTATTCTTTAATATTATTATAGAATCCTAACGTCTTCCAATTCTATTAAGTGTACTCAATTTCCTAAATATATCGTATAAATATTTGTTGTGTATTAAAATATACTAGTATTTAATTTTTTTACGAAATTTTTAAGTAGTTAGACGTAAAACAATCGTAAACATGTACTCTAATAGTAATAATGAACTTATTCAATAAAACACACTGATTTTTTTTTAGTGCTACAAAAAAATATTCTGTTATTTACTTAAAAATATTTTCTACAGTATTTTTATGTCATTTTTTGAAATATTTGATTTATTTTTGAGCACTTATCACTTATTTTTAAAATATTTGTATTTGTTGGTAAATCATATACCAAAAATTTTAAATAGTGAAATAATACACATGTATTGCATTATAATACAAAATAATTATAGTAATAATATCACCGAAAAAACATTGCGAGGAAACGTTGATTAATATAACGAATGTTTTTTTTAACGATAGTTAAAACATACATAACATTGTACATGTTATAATAGATTATAATTATGTACTATGAAAATTATTCCATTTTCAGATTTCGTTTTTTTATCACAAATACGGATCACATAGTGGATCGTTAGGATTGTATTTAGTTGAGACTCATGGGGAAATAGACCGCATGAGAAGACTCTGGTGGAGTTTTGGTAATTACGGCAATACTTGGCTACGAACAGTTGTGTACTTAAGAAATATCACAACAAGGTAAAGTATTATTCGATAAAACTAAACGTATCATTGTTACAAACTCAAAATGAATATCAAGTAATATTAATACAGCGCCAGTAAGATACCATTCAATTGTTAATAAAAATTAATTATTAAATATATTGGTGTTTACAAAACGTTATTGCTTTCGTGCTCGTTTTTGGATCACAAAGATTAGGTATTTAAGATGTGTAGGCAGTTGAACGATTTTGTTTGTTTAATCCTTTCCTAAATGAATTTATATTCAATCTCGGTATTAACGCTTTAATTACCGTACATTTTATAAATTCTCTTAAAGAACTTACATTGCAGTTTACAGCTATTGTTTACTATGCAAATATGTTATAATATTGACGCTTCCAAGGCTATTGGCGTAAATTATTTGTTATGAAAACTTTACTTTACTAAAAGTAACATTTTAAAATGAATCTAATAAATATACTAGTTACCAATTAGAAAAATAAATTTGACATCTTTATAAAGTTGAAATAGTATAAGTATAAAGTATAATAGATGAACATAAAAAATACTTAAGAATTGGTAAAACTAGAAAAATATTCATCAACAAAAAATGCACATAGTGGTCCGAGTACACGGTATGTTCTTGCCCAACACAACTAATACTAACTAAAAGAAACCATATTATGAATATTATTTTTATTTCATCCGAATATCTGCTAGTTCATTAAATTCTGATGGTATTGTATTTGTCGCCTGTCAATAGTCTCGATTATTTATTTTCATTTTAATACGTAGAGGGAATATAAATCGCGGGCAAAGTTTATGTAAATCAGTACGAACTGTATTTACCTACGATACTACCTATTCTTGTAACATGCAAATCTTCAATATTAAAGATGATTTCCTGTTAGTGTGTGTGTGATGTGATTTATTTGTAGAAAAACAAAAAATAAGGAAATAAGCGAGGTAACAAAAATAGGTACACCTGTCTAATGCATATACAAATACGAATATATATTTACAGTTCTGCAACATGAACTCTTAAAAAAAGTAAAATGAAAAGGTAGGAGAGCAACTTACTTACTAAAACAATGTTAATCTTATGATATGATACATATAACACAATGAAAATTAATTAATTACTTATCTGATGACGGTTTGAGGAGATCGGAGTGAGTGGCAAAGTGACTTACAATGAACGGAAACTAATAATGAATAATATATAAAAAAAAAAAGACTATAAGCGAAAAAGATTAACAATTGCATAGCTGTCGATTACTACAGGCGCTAAATGCGTGTAGTGTGTACGTAAAAAACAAACTATATGCAAAAAACAATTGACGTTCGCTGAGGAAGGGGCGGTGGACATAAGACGCGCGAACACGTTCGAACCGGTCATATACGAGCGACACATGACGCGAGGAAGGGTAGAGAGGTTGCCACACTCTACCCAACAACTCTATCTCAAAAAATCTTAAAAGATTGTACTCTAATAAGTACTTGTTCTAAGATTGTTGACATATAAAAACATTGCTCTTTTGAAAAAAAAAATTATTTTTATTATTGAATATAATTAATTTAAAAAAACCCAGCACAGTGGAGTTGCGGCACAGTAGTGACGTGGCATAGTTGGATCAAGTATTATGATATCTGACAGTGACTAAAATCACTATCAAAAAAAAACGCTTCGATGCAAATCTTTAGATAGTGTTTAATTTTAAAAGATTGGTGGATTATTCCAAAAGCAACATGATCTGCTAGTTCGTTGTTAATATCCTGTTTCAGATAAAGTATGTCGAATGAAAAAAGGATTATTAAAAAATATTATTTCTCATAATAAAATTATGTTGATCCATACACTTTTCAATAAGTTATAGCATAATAAAGTTAAAAATGTAAAATAAGAAAATGGAAAATTTTCACACAAAAATAGCATTCGGTAGCCATTTTCACCCTGAAGATAAAATAAAATCTGAAAATTTTTTTTTTATAATAAAGTGCATTACATTAGCTTTAATTTAAGATATATATAAAAGGGAAAGACTTTCCGGAACAATTTCAAAAGTCAAGTTGAAAAAATTAATTTTTTGTGAAAAAGTTGTCATTTAAAATCCTCCCCTGTGGGCAGGTCTAGGGTCAGATTTATAAAAAAAATATACCAAATAAAAGGTAATGATATGGTTATTTTATTGATTTGATTGATTTGGTTATTTTTAAAAAAGTTATAGCAATTTTAATTTAAAAAAATGTCGAAAATTTCAAAAATTAGCGATTTTTAAATTTGTCATTTTTTTGGAGGTTTCCCCCATTTACGGGGAACGAGGGAATTTTTTTCAATTTTTGAGGGTAATGTCTTTGACTAGATACAATTTGTGATCTTTTGACGTATTGTTGAAAAAAATCGGTTCGGTGAGAGCTGAGAAAAAGTGGTAACAGACACAAAAAAAAAACACATCTTAGTAAAACCAATACCTTCTCAGCTTCGCATCGAAGCTAAAATATGAATTTAACGTAGTCTACGAAGGCAATACTTGTTAAAAAAAATACAAATAAATGATAATTGCACCAAAAATTAATAAAGCGTCATCAGTTACATCTGAAACACTACGTACATTTTTAATTAGCAAACATTTTTAATAATATTTTCCATATACTACATTTTCAACTATTGTTCTAATATAAAAGTATGTTAGGATGGAATAGTACATACAATTCTAAAAAGAATCGTAGTTTTTATTGAGGTGTATTTGATCAAAAAGTAAATAAAAAGTATGTTGTTATATATTTTTTTGTTACAGCGCTATGTTAAAAAAAAGTCTTTTAAATAATTATATTTTTTTAGCTATTACTTGCAATTTGAGGCTCGAAAATTCATGTCTCAAAAAGGCGATGTTGCTATTGACGATATAGCAATGAGTCCAAAATGTTTTGGTTTAGGTGAGAATGTATTATTTAATATTAACAAATATACTTAAACATGAAAAAAAAATAATCGTTATAATAATGATATGATTTTGAGGGATACAGGGAAAATAGTATAAGTTAATTTTTGGGAAAAATAAATTTAATTTAAAATAAAAACTTCAAATTTAGTATTTTCACTGGAATTATCGGTCGTTGATTCCAAATTTTTTTTTGATAAAAATTTAATTATGTAATAAAACCATATCATTGCATTTTCAAAATCTAAATTTATTTTCATTTAAGATTAAAATATTTCAAATTTTGAAATTTATTAAAATTGACTATATACTATTTTTGTTTTATTCTTCAAAATTTTAATAATAGAAAAATTCAGAGGCGTATTTAAAATTTTTGTCGCAATGGTAATAACATTTCATTTTAGATCTAATATTTTGCCCCTAAACTTTTCATCTTATAAGATTTCAATTTAATTATACCACTGGAATTAGAAAATATGTGTAGTGAATTAAACATATTTAAAACAGATTTATAATGTAATTTTTATTTCAATTTAATTATAGACGTACCAAAAGAAGAACTAAAAGGGTATAAATATGAAGCAGCTGGTGTAAATGATACGTTATTATACAACGGTAAGCAATAACTTATTCACTGCAGTTATCAAATAAACTAAAATAAATTATAATATACATGAAATAAAATAATGTAAGCGCATTAATCTCACGACAATGATTTTTTTATAATTTTACAAAAATATTTCAAAAAATTAATTATAGAAGGATTTTGTTCAACCCGTTTGATGTAACACATTTTGAAACTGCGTCGTTTGCTTTTGTATTCAGCTTCTCACAACTAAGATATTTACCATTCTTTTTAACTTTTTTATGAAACTTGATATATAGCCGACAATTTTAACGTCCTGCGATAAATGTATACTCTACAAGGAGTAGAGTACACATAAAAAATTAAAAATCGTTGCCTTAAGTTCGTAGGTTTATAATGACTATAGATTATAAAGGCCATAAGAAATTCCTTAGGTTATTATTGATTTTACGTAAATGGAGTTCGATTGCATAAAGGTTAAGTAATTGAGAAATGTTTTAGATTTTCTGTCATGTTAATAATATTTAGAGAAGTATTAAATTTTCATTTTCTGAAATTCTTTAATGTCTCTTTCATGATTTCATTGCATGTGAATGTAATCCTGAATTTGACGTTTCTTTGAAATTAGATTTAACAAAAACATTTAAAATACTTTGCATTATAAATTGGAAATTAGCTATGTGATGCAGAAAATGTGTTCAATACAAGCGAACTTGCCTTATTATTGTATTAATTCCATTACTCATTCAAGACCAATATAAAAAAAAAAAATACTGATATTTGATTTTCTTTCTATACTCTACACTTATAAATTATACTATAGATATATTTAAATTATTTGACTTGATTAAATTTTTTAACGAGGCAAGTCATGGATTGTGATATAATTTAAAGTTATTATTCAGAAATGAAAATAAAATGTACAAATAACTTGTTTAACTGATGCATAAATATTTTTCTTAAGCTGAGCTTTAACATATAATGATTTGTTTAAATAAAAAAATATTTGTTTACTTCAAACCATGTATATATATATATATCATTAAAAATAAATACGTGGACTAATATTGAATTCAATTATATTATATGATAAAATGAAAACTACAAACAGTAATTGCCAAAATAAAATAGGAATGCATATTAATTTAATAATTCATTACGCTGTTACTTACTATGTATAAATGTAAATTTAGCTTTACCCATCTTATAACTCACTATGTTGCGATGTCATTTTCTAGAAAAATATTATAAAATGTATACATATACAGAGTGAACCAAATAAAACTGATCATTTTTGTTAAAATTAACATTTTGTTGTGATTACTAAAAAATTATCCATTTATTTTTAAACTACATTAAAACCAATTATTATTTTTATTATGAAAAACAAGTAATAAAAAATACGATTCTAACCTAATTTAAAAATGCATAAATTATTTAAATAATCACAACGAAATGTTAATAGTATCAAAAATTATAAGACCTGTCAGTAAGATGTGGTTCACTCTGTATATATGCAATAAAAGATCATTTATTTTTCAGTTACTCCTTTGAAGATTCCGATCAACCCTGACTTCATAAACAAAACAGGTAAGTGTAAAATTTATCCTAAAATATTTCACACCCCAATTTGATCCTCTAAAATATTGTTTACACTTAATTCTTTTGATGCTATTTTTACAATTTGTGATTTGACATAGGGAATTAAATTTAATATAAAAATGTAAAAATTATTTTGTTTGAAAGATGTTACAATAGTATAAGAAAAAATATTTAGCAATAAAATGAAATGGAGTGGAAATATATTTTGAAATATTATTTGTCAATAATTGGTAAATAGTTATTAATAATAATAAAAAATATTTACACAATTTTGCTTATACGTTTTATGATGACTTTTTGCAAATATTTGAAGTATGTTTCTTAGTTTTATATCTTAATAATATTCAATTATATATATTTTTAAATTTTACATGATATTTTAATTTTAAGTTATTTTATGACATTTCATGAGTCAACAATGCCTAAAACATCAATTATTATCTCACTTTGTAAAAATAAAGAAAATATAATTGAGTCTTTAAAGTTACATTATATTTTTATTGTTTTAAATATACACAATTTTTTTGCCTTGTGAAATTTTAGAAATATATTTTTTTTAAAGTTACAACGTTGGTAATATTTCTGTTTATCGTTCTTAAAGCGTATTTAATACGTTTTTAATCACTCATACGCCTTAGTATTAGCGTTCAACTCATTTTGCACAACATAAGCTCATTTTGTGTATTTGGTCTATTGATCATCCATCAAATTTATTTTTCGCTGTTCATTTATCTTTATTTCACGGAATATTAAATTCTATGCATTAAGTTTTTCTTTATTCTATATTTCCTTTTACAAAAGAGGTATAAGTACTATTTTTATGTACACTATTTATATTTCAAATGTTACTCAATGTTTCATAATAAAAAATTAGGCACAATGGATAAATGTCTTCAGAATATTACTTGACACGTGTTATTTTGGCTTACATTATGTTATGAAAGTTATTATTTAATAAAATGTTTTTACACAGTTAATTTTTAATACGAGACAATGTTACTTTAAATTATTATAATATCGTATGTAGGGATATATGGATGAAAAAAGTCATAAAACAATATAAGAAACCCAAAAAGAAAATAATGAGTAGTACCTAATTAAAAACAACTGTTAATATTGTGTTATTTTCTATGAGATTAGATTTCATTAAAGTAATATAAATTTTCAATGAAATTTACAATACTCAATTACAAAGTGATCAAAAAATAAATATTTGATTATTATAAGTTTTTTAAGATAATTTTTATGCAAAATTTTTTATCATGACTTTGAAGTATGCAATTAAAATAACAAATTGTTAACAATTGAAAAGAGTTTTTTGATATATGTTTACATTCATGTAAAAGAATCTGCATAATAGTTTAAAAGTGGGATGAACGTCAAAGAACTAAAAAATAAAATATTATGAAAACACTGAGGTGAATTTCACCTCAGTAAATAAAGTAAAAGCATGAAGTTGCTGAAGAACATTGCAAATAAATGTAAAAACATTTTGTTACAAAAATACTTTTTTGTTCATTTCTATGGTAGAAAATGTTAAACCACGATGAAAAATGTGTACCTACCTACCAATAGAACTGTAATAAATAATGACCATAATTTGCAATAAAGAAGGAAATAGTCTATTGATATACGTTTATATTACATCAAAAAAGAATATTAGGGAAAACAAATTTATTAATTTAATTTGAAACATGGCTTATTTAAAAAAAAATTGTATGTATAATATACATATATATATATATATATAATACTTTTAAGTTCATCCCTTATGCCTTGTAAGGGGGTCAACTTTGTTTTTTTTAATGGAAACACATATTTTTATTTTAATAAAATGTTTGAGTTGTTAATTTAATAGTAAATGACATTTGAATTTTTAATATAACTTTATTCGTTTATTAGATTTAAACATTTAAAGTTTCAAATTTTCGAATTAATATACATGTATAATACACAAGGTATTACAAATACATGTAGCTAATTGGTTTTTTATGACATCAATATTCGCAGGTACACAGCATTGTTATTATCAATGGTAGTAAGGCACATTGTTGTGAGTTCATGAATACACTAATTGACTATATAAAAAGTATATCTATTGACAGTCATAATTGATAATAAACAATCTGTGACTGTGACAGCGATGTCATAAAAACCATTTAGCTACCTGTATTTGTAATACCTTGTGTAATATACATGTATATTAACTCAAAAATTTGAAACTTTAAATGTTTATATCTAATAAACGAATAAAGTTTTATTAAAAATTCAAATGCCATTTACTATAAATTAAAAACTCAAACATTTTATTAAATTAAAAATATATGTTTCTATTTAAAAAAACAAAGTTGAAACCATTACAAGGCATAAGGGATGAACTTAAAAGTATTACATAGTAAATAATTAAAGAATAATGTGTAACTAAAGATAACCAAAAAAAAAAAAAAAATTTTAAGTATATTTATTCTGTAAGTAACTGAGTGGGTTATGGTATAAAAATCACCATGTATATATTTATTTATAAACATAATTTATACATTTCGTTAATCATCTTTATGGTACGTGATTCTTGTGTAATTATTAAATAGCTTTTAAAATTTGGTATTTTAATTTGATGTGTTTTGTTATATTTAGTGTACAAATTCAATACGTGTGGCATGAAGGGTAGATTAGGTCCAAGTAACAGATCATGTGAAGTGGCTTACAACAACAGTACAGTAGAGGTTAATGTAATTAACGATACATATATGGACGGAGTACAAGTATGGACAGTACCGGAAACCGGGGTTTATACGTGAGATTTTTTATTAACTTATAAAAAATAAAATTTTTTTTTGGTAAATGAAAAATACTATGTTATATTTATAATATCTCTTTTGCCTTATTAAAAACCGAAAATGATATGAATGCGAATTTTTGTTTTGTACTCCAAAACGCTTTTGAATTGTTCATAATTGATGTCAAAGTAAAAGTTAAAATTACCAAAACACTTCAAAATGTTTTCAATTAATGAAGCCTTTGCTTTCATCGATAGCTAATAATTTCCAAACCGCTTTGATATTAATTAAGACGTTCCTGAAAAAGTTTTTACTCAAATATTTGTGCGTAGAAGTTTTAGAAGTACAGAAATCGAAAATTTTTTACACAGAATAAGCTTAAACTTAATAAAATAAAAGTTTTCAGAGTTATTTCTATCTTCAAAAACTGACAAAGGAACTATTCAGATATCTTTTGTGATGAATTTATTTATTCAGGGACGAGACTTTTCGAAGAAACTTAAAATAAAATTACAACCGTTTTCACGTCACGTATAACAAAACAGTGATGGATTCTAATGTTAGACTTTTTAGATAAATATATAGAATACAAAAAAAAAAACGTCTAATCGTAAACAATTTAAATACAGCTCAATGTTATATTTTTCCCATGTTGTCTCTTAAGACATTGCCAATAAAGAATTCAATTTAAGCTTTACGTTTCATTAAAAATGATGATGTAGAATGTTTATTACATAGTTTTGTTTAATTTATTTGAAATTAATTAGTTTCATTATTATGGTCTGTTTTTATAATTTCACTCAATTATTACACTATGCATTGTTAAAAAAAATTGTTTATGAATGATTTTTCTGAAAATTCATGCGTTTTTTCAGTATTATTGCTAGTGGTGCTCGAGGAGGTAAAGGTGCTGATGGTATGGGAATCTCTAAAGCAGCTACATCTATTGCTGTAGTAGAAATGCCCAAAAATTTACAACTCTACATCTTGGTGGGTCAAGAAGGAGGCGATGCATGCAGAAAGGTACGAAGCAAATTACTTATATTTTGTTAATAGATCTTTACAAAAAAAAAAAAAAAAAAAACGGTGAAAATATCTTTTATTGATTTAATTTTTCTTTAAACAGACTTTCGAAAAACATGATGGTGCATGTCAACGTGAACAGTATTTTAGGACTGGAAGTGCATTGAGGGAGTTACACGATTTGCGGTTACTAAACGGTGGTGGTGGAGGAGGTGGTGGTTCGTTTGTTTTCACAGTTAAGTGCAAAATTCTTTTTGAAATCTTTATTTGAAACCATTAGGCGTGAAAAAAATTATAATAATAAAGAATAAAGAAATATAAATCTTAATAATTCTTTTGACAAGTGGATTTATTTTCTAAAAATAAAAGAAAAATGTATTTATTCGCTATTGTAATAATTTTTATGTTAAAAAAATAAAGAACTTCATCCACTAACAATTTTTGACATTAATTTTAGGGATCCCATGAAGAGGGATATGTACCACTTTTGATTGGCGCTGGGGGGGGTGGACTTGCTCATGGTCCATTTAAAGATGACAGAAGTCAACATGGTAATGGAACCAATCCTAGATTACCACCGATCACTGCGCCTTCATTTGGTGAAAATCCAGCAGGTATGCATTGTTTAAAAATAATTTTCTTTATTAATAGATAATTTGATGGTACTTGCATTATTCTTTAAGGTGCTGGTGGTGGATGGGCCCCTGGAAATTATTCAGAAGATAAAAAGTCAACTGGTACTTCAGTTTTAGAAGGTGGTGCTATTGGTGGTCTTGCATGTTACAAGAGTCGAGGAAATACCAAAGGTGCTGGTGGATTTGGTGGTGGTGGTGGTGGTTGTGTAGCTGGTGGTGGCGGCGGTGGTTATACGGGTAAGCTAATTAGTATACAATACTATGTTAGTACTACTGGTAGTTGTATTATGCAAAACAACGTAATTTAATATTACACCATTTCCAATACTTGTTTTCCAAAGTATCGGATATTTATGATAATTAGTTTTTAATATTTTAAATTAATGAACTAATTATTATATTTAGACTCATTAATATTTTATTCCTGTTAACGATAAAATTTTGTTCCTCTTGAATGGTTTGAGCATTATAATAGGCAAAGTAAAAATGTTGAAAATCCTAAAATTACTCAATCACGATAAATGTATATGACATTTTTTATTAATCAAATATAGATTTAGAATAACCATCAATAAAATAAATTTAATGTTTTATATTTTACTGTATTATCTTTATCATCATAGAATAAACATTAAATATGTTTTTTAAATTTATATACAAAATTACATTGTCTCGTGATAATACAGCATACAATCGATTCTAAAAAAATAATTAATTATAATCATCTTCTTTCTCCTCACCTTTATCACAACTACTTGGAGTTGGCCAACCTTATCCTAAGTTTCCACTTGACACGATATCCCTTATCCTCTACACTCACATCAACTGTCCTTATGTCGCATTCAATAACATCTCTCCATCTCTTTTTTGGTCTTCCTCTACCTCTTCTTCCTTCAACATTCATTTCTATTACTATTCTTACAGCTTCCGATTATTCTCTCCTCATAACATGACCAAACCGTATAAGTCTATTTTCCCTCATCTTATCCACGATTGACGCTACACCTATACTCCCTCTTATATGCTCATTTATTATCCTATCTTATCTAGTCTCCCCACTCATTCTCTGCTCTACTTTCTAGAATAAGTATGGCCTTAAAACAGAACCTAAGTGCACTCCTACTCTTACCCGAAAACTTTCTGTTACTCCTCCCACACTTTTTACCCTAGTACAAGTGCCATCATACATATCCTCTGTTATATTAATGTCCCTTTTTGGGACTCCTTTTCTCATTAATGCCCACTTTAGAACCTTTTTCGGTACTCTATCATACGGATTTCCCAAATCTATAAATAACATACAAAGATTTTTCTTTTTGTCCCTAAACTTTTCTATTAATTGCCTCACACAAAATAATGGCTCTATTGTTGACTTACCAGGCATAAATCCTAACTAGTTTTTAGTTACCTATGTAATTTCTTATTCTCTTATCTATTACCTTTTCCCAAATTTTTATACTATGACTCATAAGCTTTATGCCTCTATAATTTCCACACTCCTGTATGTCTCCTTTACCTTTAAATATATGCACCACAATACTATTCCTCCATTCACTAACACCACCTAATATTTTCCATACTTCTACTGGCATTTCATCCGGTCCCATTGCTTTATTCTTTTTCATTGATGCCACAGACTCCCATAGCTCTTTCTCACTAATACATCTACCAGTACTTCATTCCACGAAATATCCTCGAACATCTCTTTTGGATACTTCTCATTCAGTAATATTTCAAAATACTCTTTCCACCTTTTTTTCACATCATCATTACTCGAAAGTACCTTATTATCAGCACTTTTTACTCGCTTTACGCTCTCTTTCTTCCACACAAAATAATCAATCTGTGATCTATTCCTCCCACTCTTATAAGTTATATAATGTTCTTCCTTCTTTCTAAAATAAGTATTAACCACAGCAAAATCATGCGATGCTGCGAAATCCAGGATTCTTTCTCCAGTCTCATTCTTCTTACTAAAAGCAAACCCTCCGTGTACTTTTTTATATCCTCTCTTCTTATTACCTACATTTCTATTCATATCTCCACCTATCACCGCATCTTCATTGCCAGGTACCCGTTGCATCGCTTCATCAATCTCTCTCTAAAACACTGCCTTGTCTATTTCATCACATCCTACTTGTAGTGCATAGGCACTTTTTACATTCAGCACCTTTTCCTCGAATTCAATTTCACAACTATAATCCTGTCACTTTTTTTAGCTACGTCTACTACTTTACTTTTCATTTCCTCATTCAAGGACATATAAGTATAATATACTTCTCTGAGTATATTATTTTATAACCCTTACCTCTTTCCCTTATTTTCTCTCCTTTCCACCTAGTTTCCTGCACACAACAAATGTTAACTTTTCTCCTCTTCAATACTTTTACTAATTCTCTATTTCTACCAGTTAATGTTCCAACATTCCAATTATCTATTCTTACTTTGTATCTATCTTTTTTTCCTCCCTTGAGGATACTCCCTTAAAGTATCAAGTAGTGATGTCCCTACACCGTTGACACTACAAGCGTTGGTAGACCTTTACACATGACTGGTGAAACAGCTACCACACAAGTTGTCAGACTGGTATCAAACACTTTATTCCTTAGGCCTTCTCCGTTTTTAACTACTTTCTGTTGTCCCCGCATACATCCGAGATGGGACAATCTGCTTAAGTTTTGTTCAAGATTTCTCATACTATTTTGTCAATATTTTTATGCCGGCTGTCGATCTGACGCAACCTCATTAGTCGCCTCTAACAACTGGCAGAGGGGCCGTGGTAGTATTCTTAGCACCTATCCATAGAATATTGAAGTAAGATAGTATAACACAATTAAATAATGTTGTAAAAATGATATCTACTTTTTAAGTACCTATTAGAATATCATTATTAAATTCAAAAACTTATAGTAATAAATGAATTTTATTAAAAACTAAAATATAAAATTTTCATGTTAAGTAGTAAAAATATTGCCGATTAATGCAATCACTAAAATTTTAGCTAAAGTAACATACTAGCACTACATAACATTATTATGTCAGAACTAACTTTGTATACAACTCGAACTTCATTTCAAAATTGTTAAAATTATTAAAACACCATAAAAGTTAATAAGTGTATCATTTAGTCAATTTTTTTTTTTATATCTTCTGATTAAGATAAAATGGTAATATTTTATTATTATCTAATATTTTATTAATACAATGAGCCGACAATTTTTCAAGTAATTATAATTTCATTTTTGCTAAAATTTTGAATTTGGGAAAACCTTTTTTTTTTTTTGATATTTATTTTAATGTAAGTTTTGAGACAATAATTTTTTATGTTGGTAACAGTATCAATTTATTTTCCCGCCATAAACGACGACGCACATTATCTTTTGTGTAAAAACCAAAAGATCGTTCCAATTGCATTTTTAATGTTTATTATTCCATAAGTTAAATTCAGGTCTTAGACTCTTCTCATTGTCAATGACATATTGCATTCAAGTTTTATATTCAAGAGTTAGATAGTTGAAAAACTTACTTTTTCACATTTTATTAGCGTTGTTACCTAACGTTGTCTAATATATCCGTTCAAAACTTTAATTTGTGTACTTTTGTCGTTCTTTTTTCTACCTACTTTAAGTTAAAAATATTTCATCATGTTTGAAGTGAAACTTTTAATGAGTGGTCATTTTAAGAAAACCTTGGAAGCAATTAAAGAGCTACTTAAAGAAGCTACGTTTGACTGCTGTGCGTCGTCGTTTATGGCGGGAAAATAAGCGATACTAGATAATGTTACTACAAAAAAAAAATTATTATCTACAAAACTTAAAATAAACATTAAAATAAATAAATAAAAAATAATAATAAATAAATAATTATAATAAGTTATTATATCTAGTAGAAGGTATTATGTTTAAATTAATTTTTTAGTGTTTATGATCTACGTATTTTTTTTTAAGTAACTTTAAAACATTGATGACTCTTACCAGGAAAAATTGACAACAAAAAACTTTTTAAATGTTTAAAGATTGAAAGTCTTAACAAAAAAATCTGAAAATGATTTTTATTTATTTATTAAGGTGGTCGTGCCTGGAGTAATAGCCAAACAAATGGCGAGGGTGGTTGGTCTTTTCTTCCAGAAAATAGACACATCTTTTACAGTGCTGTGTATTCAGGAAGTCATTATGGACCAGGTGCAGTAACCATAATACCAGCTATAGTAGGTTGTGGTTGTGCATACCTCTGTGTATCTATCAGTAAGCTACGTAACGCAGTAGTTTGTATTTGTCCAGCAGACTTCAAACTTGGAGCAGATGGAAAAACATGTTCGTGTAAGTCAAACATCAATTTACTTAATTAATTAAAAATTTTTATACTTAGTTATAGTCGTTTTGCTTATTAAAATTATCCTGTTAATTTATCAATTTGACGTCACTCATGTAAATAATACATCAAATGATAACGATTTATTATTGAAATATTGGTATACAGTAATTTTATTTAATTAAAAAATTTCTTTTTAAGTTAATATATGATAATGAAAGCATTAAAAATTGTTGAATAAAATATTAAAAACACCACATAAAAATATAGAGTTTTATGAAAATAATATTTAATAGAAAAGTAAAATCATTATAACAAACCTTTTGATATTAATTAAACTAATTTAACTGTTTTAAAATTAATTTTGCAGTCATTTATAGTTATATACCTATATCTTTAATTGTACATAATATAGACACTAGTTAGCGTAATAAACTTGTATTTGATTAGATTTTTATGAATCTTAAATTAATAAAAAAAAAAAAAAAATCAATTCATTTTTATAAGAATAATGAGAAAATGAAACAGAAATAATTACGTTCTTTAATAATGATTTAATTTTAATACATTAGCTGTAAATATTTAAGTATGCCAAAACAAAATATATTAAAATTATTTTGGATTTTTTATAGACATTTTTCATCGTTTTACTGATTAGCCCAAATAGCAAAGATTTGTTTTAATAAATACTATTATTTATTTATCAATTGTTGACGCTTTTTAACAATAGAATATTTTTTATTGAACATTTACACACATTAAAAAATTTAAATGTTTATAAATGATAATATTTATTAATTGATTAATAACACATAACAGTAATGAAAAATGTAAAATGTATTTTATATTTTGACGCGTAATCCAAAGATGAGATGCGGGCGAACGAGTGGCGTGTTACTCACTACCGCGGATATAATTGTATATACGTTACAATATACCAAACACACTAAATATCCAGCTACGTATCTACCACGCTAAGCCGCACTGGCTAGTTATTAACGGTATCAAAGTACGTCTATACCTGTGATTTATAGATGTATAAATATATACATACCAATTCGTCAGATCACACAATTAATCCGTATCACCAGACAACTAACTAAACAGAAAAGTGCCAAAAGAGACGCAAACCAGAACCAACAACGAACGAAGAATCGACCAGTAAAAGTACACGTCGGAAAAAGAACAGAACGCAATATCAGTAATCGGCGGCGGCCTTATCTCAGTTTCAAGGGCGGGGAAACAACCGATGACGACCGATTGTCATATTAATAGCTGGACGGCTGATATCGAGAGAGACACGGGCGAGCAAAAGGCGGTGCCGTGTTATTTAGTCCATTCATGAAAGTATTAATAATAATTAAAATTCAACTACGGCCCATAAAAAATTTTATTTTTAAAATCTTGTAAAAAAATAAATTAAGTAAATATGGCGCACTCTCGTCAAGGATTACATTAAACAATGTATGCTTAAAAAGAGAAGTAGAGAGAAGCATATGCATTAATTCTTTGTATTGAAATCTTCAAAAAAGTTACGCATAATAACTATAAAGGAATACATATAATTAAATTTTTTTTATTATGTCAATGTATTGTGTAAAATATAAACTTTAAAGTTAATTGTATACATGAGATAAAAACATTTAAAAATATATATATTTAATAGACTTTTGTGAAAATGAAGCGTACCACTTATTGCATTAGTAAAATGTTTATCTATTCAAAAAAATTATCTGTAAACACGTTAGTTAATAGACTATATTATATTAAACAGAATTTTATTTATTTTTTAGATCAATCGTCTGAAACAACTAAAATTATATTTCTTATTACTGGAAGTGTATTTACTGTTGTAATAATTTGTATAATATTGGGAGTTTGGATGTGTAAGTATTGAAAATAATAATAATAAAACACCATTGATTTAATACTCAGGAAGTTATCGAATATTTTTTTTCAGATCGTAGCTATAGAAAACGCAAGGAACGCAAAGAAAATGTCAATATATTACATAACGGAATTTTAAACTATAACATGGCTTTGAGAAACCGAAACGGAAATGCTGACATCAACCCTACATACGATTTTAATGGACGAACCTTAACGACAAACGATTTACCCAGGATATCCCGAGATGAACTTCGGATACAAAAGTATGATGAGTAGTTTAATAACATACACGCATAAGTTATCTTTATACATACATAGATTTTCTTTTAATATTGAAGTTTCTCGAGGAAGTGTATAATCCGAAACTCTTTTAAATTGCAGGTCTATCGGTGAGGGAGCCTTTGGAGTTGTATATCGAGGGTACTACAAGAAAACCGGAAGTAATACCGAAGTTAAAGTGGCTATAAAAGTAATTTATATGGCTACATGACGTAAATTAATGAACTAAGAATTCACTAAACAAAATCATTTTTATTGTAGACGTTGCAGCCTAAAAAGGATATGACTAACGTCGACGTCAAATTTGATGATGACAACACTCCCAACCCTGAACTCGAAAGAGAAAAGAAAGCAAGACAGAAAAAGGCTGAACTATCTTGCATACGAGATTTCCTAACGGAGGCTATTATCATGAGTCAGTTTGATCATCCCAATATTGTCAAGTTTATAGGTATTACATTTGAAAAAAACTACAGGTTTATTGTCACTGAACTACTAAGTGGTGGAGATCTTAAGGAGTTTTTAAGGAAAAATCGTCCTTCGGTGGTATTACGTTTTTATTTTCTTTCATAAAATAAATTAAATTATGTTAAATTCTTTGTGAAATATTTTTAGCAACAAAAAGATAAAATTATCCCTCTCAAACTGAAGGACCTATTGAAAATGGCTTTAGATATAGCTAAAGGCTGTATGTATTTAGAAAATTTACATTTTATACATAGAGATATAGCCGCAAGAAATTGTTTGTTGTCTACTACAGGCAGAGGACGAATAACTAAAATCGCCGATTTTGGAATGTCTAGAGATGTCTACAGGTTTGTGTATCAACTATTTTTAATTTCAAAATAGTTCTATTTTATTTAAGAAATAACATAAAACAGTTATATACCAAATCTTATTTCAATCAAATAAAATTATGATTTAGATAAAGTACAACATTACAGTTCATATTTAAGCTTACTAATAAAATTACCAAATGAAAAAAATGTTTATATTCTGTGTAGAAACGAGTACTATAGAAAGGACGGTCAAGCAATGCTTCCCATTAAATGGATGCCCACTGAATCTTTGGTAGATGGTGTTTTTAATTCTAAAACCGATATTTGGTAAACACAAAACTTTTTTATATTGTTACACTAAAATAATTTTATTTCTTTAAAAATGAATATTTACTATTTTTTTAAATATTTGCATTTCCTTCTTAATTATTAATTTTTCAATTAATTAATTAATTTTTTTTATATATTCAATTATGTGTAATAGGGATTTTAACATTAAAATTTTTATCTTTTTGTTAATAAATTTTTAAATACTAGTTTAAATTTACGAAAATATAAATAACTAAATGTGTTTTTATTGATATTGAAAATGATTTACGTAGGTCATACGGAATAACTTTTTGGGAAATAATGACATATGGTTCAATGCCTTATACTGGAATGACAAATAAAGAAACAATGAATTATGTGATGCGTGGAGGCCGTTTGGCAAGACCAGGCATTTGTCCGGAACCTGTTTATAAATTAATGAGTAGTTGTTGGAAGACGAATCCAGAAAACCGACCAACATTTGAAGCTATTCGAAACAAACTTCGATTGTTTATACAAGTTTGTTCCTTTATATCCTCAATCTTTCACATAAAAAAATGAAATCATTTTTTAAATAATAATTTTAAACGTTGATTTATAAATTTCTAATTGTAAACATTTTAAGTTAGAATTACATACTAATACATCATTGTAAGAAAAATATCAAATATTTAATAATTTTAAAAGTTTTTTTTACAAAATATTTCTTTTCATTGATTAAATTTAAGCATTATGATACACAATATAGTTATTACATTTTTTAATTTATTGCCTAATAATGTATACTACTGACTTAAAAATCATCGTATTATAAAATGATTCTCTACTTTATCAAAAATGTTACAATTATACATTAGGAGTATCGTTTAACATTGTGTATAACAACATGCAATATATTTTTTCTATAAAAAATTGAACGTAATTTTACATCAAAATTATACTTATTTAGTAAATAATTTTTTTTTCTTTTCTTAATTAAATATTTTAATAATTAGTTTTTAATATTTGGAACTTTTTGTTAGGTTCACTAGTTAAAGTATATTAACTTTTTTGGTATATTATTCATTATAAAGAAAGTATATAATATTAATTGCGTTTCTTTTGACATCACAATTTAAAACTATTTCTGAAATTTAATGAAAAATGAATATTATATATAGAATAGTACAAATAATATAATAATAATACAATTGAAATTTGAACTCGACTTTTAAGTTTAATTTTTTAATACGATGATGACAACTGATGTTTATTTTAGATAAAAACTTGTGTTAGATAATTTAAAACGTAAGTTTTTAAAGATAATACTTCATTATTGAGCTGTTTTAAGTATCAAAATAAATACATTTTTTTGTAGAAAACTCATTTCTTCATGAAAATAATTAAAATACAATTGTTTAAAATATTTTAAAATGTATTTTTAGGATCCTGTTATATTAGAGTTCAAGCAGCCAGTTATTGGTCGACCACCAGCACCTTTACCATACAGAACATCTCAACCTGATGGAGACCTACTAAATGATCCCATATCTAGTGATAATAGTAGATTTGAAGGTGATGCGAATCGTAATATTAATATTACCAACGGAGCAATCGGTAGTGTTATACTCGAAGGCGAACAACAAGAAGAACCCCAATACGTAACTCCATTGCCAGCAGATGATTTGTTTGAAGGTGTTGATGCTGAACTTATGAAAGATGCCGAAAGGTTTGGTCGCCGTGATAGTGAACCTATGCTAATAGATGATGGACGTAATTACATTGAAGACGATGATGACGATGAAGAAGACGAAAATGTAGCAAGAGCATTTGGTGGAGACGAAGACCCAAAGGATGATGAAGAAGAAGAAGGCGAAGAAGAAGAAGATGATGATGACAACGGCGAAGAAATAGTATTAGAAGCAGACCGAAAACAATCTGATCCCGAAGAAGACGAAGAAAAAAATCAATTAGCAGGTGCTCAAGCCAATGCGTTAATGGTCAATAGTAATGGGATCCCATCTTATAATTGGAAGTAAGTATCATGTATAGTTTTCATTTATATAAAAAAATAATAATAAACAACATGTACTTTGTTATATTATAATACATTATATTCATATATATTAATTTATTCATACTGTTTTTTAGCTTCGATGCAAAGCTGAGAAGGTATTAATTATACTAGATATGTGTTTTTTTTTTTTTTAATGCCTTTAGTCACTATCTTTAATACATAAAAGATCACAAATCAATCTAGTTAAAACATTACCCTTAAAAATTGAAAAAATTTCTCTCGCTCCTTATAAATAGGAGAAATATGCTAAACAATTATAATTTTCAAAATCGATAAATATTTTCACTTTTTTTTTTCTTAAAACTGCGCTATAACTTTTTCAAAAAAGAACGAATAAAAATTATTTTTATTATATAGAAACCTTAGGTATTTTCCTTTTATTTGATATACATTTATGTCCCTTTATCTACCCACATGGAAGGATTTAAAATAGCAACATTCTCACAAAAGTCAATTTTTTCAACTTAAGTTTGAAAATGTTCCGGAAATACTGTGTCTTCTAAATATATTTTAAAATAAGGCTTATAATACGCACTATAACTTAAAGAACAGAAATATTTGCCCCGCCGATCTATCTTATATGTGCAAATGGACATTGAAGTCGAATAAATTAAAGAAATATTTATTTATATATTACACTTATATATCATAAAATTTGTAATCAGTTTATAAATAATTAAATAAGAGTAAAACGAATTCCTATTTACTTTTGGTATAATCCAATAATTTCTTAAAATTAAATATCATTTACAGATTTGCATTGAAGCGTTTCTTATGATAGTGATTTTAATCATTGTCAGATATCATCTATATTTGCCTACAAATCCACACTGTGTTGCGACCCTCTGTACAATTAAAATCTATATACCGAAAGTTTCCTTAACAATGCTCACAAAAATATTTTGAAATTATAAAAACCATTTTTATTTTTGGAAAAAATTAATAATTCTTTGTTGAAGTACTCTATGAGTAAAATTAGACTTGCAATATATCTTTTATGCTTTAAACAATCTTCAACTTTTTTTTAATGTTAGCCAGTGGGTCAAAAATTAAAACAAAATTTGATGATAGTATATAATACAAGGGATAATAGTATAAAATAATTTACTTCATAAAGTAGCTCAACGGCAAATAATGAATGTTGCCAAAAAAATAAAATAAAATATTTTATGAGGCGTGTTTAAGGAATCACCTGCATATTCTTAAATTTTAAAAAAATAATCAAGTTAAAGTTTACATAGATTTATATTTTTATAACATTTATAATTTTTTGTCAAATGTTTTTTAGTCGATTCAAAGAAACCAGTTTCATAAGCATGAAAGAGCCAATTCAACGTCAGTCATGTGTTGATAGAGAAATTGGACAAGGCAAAAGAAGAAAATCGTTCTCTGAATTAGAGGACAATCGTGCTTACCCTTATTCCATCGCTGGTCGAGTGAGATACAACGTTGCAAGTGATGGAAAAATAAGATGCTGACATGAGGAGAAAGGGGACTCTGTAATAGAGTCCCTAGAAATGCTATAATAATAATCACATAAATATTATTTTAAATTTTTGCATAATATTTACGCAAAAAAAAATCATTTTTATCATATTTAATACAAAACATTATCAAATAAATTTACAGGTAACTAATGTAAAAGTGTAAAAAATATTAGCACAGATAGTAGATACATATTCGCCATATACATAAACGCCAATATAATCCTTTATTAATATTAAATGTCACATGACAATTAATGTTTTTATGAGTGTATATTTAAATTTTCCAACTACAATAGAACGTAAATTTAAAAAAAAAATAATATTTTATTTAATACTATCAAGTTATATTCTAATTCGTCAATAAATAGCAAAATTACATTTCAATATGTAATATAAAAAAAAATGAATTAAATTTTTACAGATAATTAATTTATACGTTGTTTTCGTGAAATTTATTTGCGTCATAAACAATATTGCTTGATTTTCAAGTTTTCTCCATTAAAATATAAATCATTATAAGTTTTATCACATAAAGAAGTTAGCCCAAAATTTTATTTTCTTACTTTTAAATTTTTCTTAACTAATTAAAAATTAGAATACATACGAGAAATATTGAAAATGAATCTTTAATAATAATTTTTGTTAATGATACAAATACATTTCACAAAAACAACATTTAAATTGAGATCCTATAAAAATTTAATTAGTTCTCTTTTATATTACATATTTCAAAGCATAAGCACATTCTAAATAACGTTTTTTAACATAATTAATTACATTTTTTTAATGATTTACTTCTCAGGAAATTTAGTATAAACATGTACATATGAATAAATTAAAAAAAAAAAAATTAGTAAGATGCTTCATTTAAAAAATAAAACATAATTATATGTACAAATATTAGAATAGGGGCCGTAACCAAGTGATATTTAAGTTAACATTGTTATATACTGTTAAGAATAATGATTAACTATTCAAAATTGTAATTAAAATGTACAATTGTACTGTATATATTAATCAGATTGAGCCATTGACTATTTCAAATGTTATAGTAATAATTTAATTATGTTCCACATTAATGTGATTTTATAATAATGTTTTTTTTTATTATTCAACCTGCTCAAAGTTTTAACTGACACAAAAACTAAATTTTTAAATAAATTCTAATTTATCTATACAAAAATTAGGGTGAAATTTTTGCGGTAATCTATCGTAATTAAACCGTTTTTGTAAAATTTTAACAAAGTATCTTTTCAATAAAAAAAAAGTTGCTTTTAAAAATTTTTATACTTTCTATTTGATTAATTAATGATTAAAAACTGTTTAATTTAACTTTGTTATATTGATATGTTATTTTGTTATGTCTATAAAAATAATGTTGTCGTCTAGCAACAAACTGCATTGTAATTTAAAAAAAAGTTTACTTTTAGTAATTAAACAAATAACTTAAATCTTTGGATTATAAACAAAAGCTGATAAGTCACAAAAATACGATTCTGAGATTATTGAAGATATTTATAAAAATGATGTTATCATCCAAAATTGTATGGAATGTTTTTGGAATTTTAAATATACAGGATGATTTTTTTATCATAACCCACTCAATTACTTGCAGAATAATAATAATTTAAACATTTTTTTTTTTTATTATCTTTAGTTATACATTATTCTTGAATTTTTAACTATGTAATACTTTTTAAGTTCATCCCTTATGCCTTGGAAGGGGGTCAACTTTGTTTTTTTAAATGGTAACACATATTTTTAATTTAATAAAATGTTTGAGTTTTTAATTTAATAGTAAATGGCATTTGAATTTTTAATATAACTTAATTCGTTTATTAGATATAATCATTTAAAGTTTCAAATTTTTGAATTAATATACAGGTATAATACACAAGGGATTACAAATACAGGTAGCTAATTGGTTTTTTATAACATCGATATTAGCAGGTACACAGCATTGTTATTATCAATTGTAGTAAGGCACATTGTTATGAGTTTATAAATACACTAACTGACAATACAGAAAGTATATCTATTGATAATCATAATTGATAATAAACAATCCGTGACTGAGACAGCAATGTCATAAAAATCCAATTAGCTACCTGTATTTACAATCCCATGTGTATTATACATGTATATTAACTCAAAATTTTGAAACTTTAAATGTTTATATCTAATAAGCTAATAAAGTTATATTAAAAATTCAAATGCCATTTACTATTAAATTAAAAACTCAAACATTTTATTAAATTAAAAATATGTGTTACCATTTAAAAAAACAAAGTTGACCCCCCTCCAAGGCATAAGGGATGAACTTAAAAAGTATTACATAGTTAAAAATTTAAGAATAATGTGTAACTAAAGATAATAATAAAAAAAAATGTTTAAATTATTATTAGTCTGCAAGTAATTGAGTGGGTTATGATAAAAAAATCACTCTGTATAGACTTGCCTAAAATAATAATATGATGTTTAATTTGTTTAGATATTCTGAAAAATTAGTTGAATCGACATATCAGCTTTTGGAAAATAGCTAAAGAAGTAATATTAGTTTGATGAATCAAAATAATTTCTTTCATTGATTAATTTTTTATATAACTATTCATTAATTAACGACGTAGACACCAAAATTTATTTATTCGCATACTGCGTGAATTTAATATTTTTTTTTAATATTTCATAATTTTTTCAAACGTTTAAAATAGTTTATATATTATATAATTAGATATTTATATAACATCACATAAAGCTCACCATAATTTTTACATAAAATTTAAAAATATAATTGATATTTTGTTTATTTCTTATAGTAAGATAATTTTGATATGAGTTTAATTATGAGCTTAGAAAAAATATATTGAACACATAAATGTTCAGCCAAATTAAATATAAAATTATTTATTTAGAATTTTGAAGTTACTAAGACCATAAAAGTTAGAAACCAATTTAAAAAAATTTCATATATACATTTACCTTTGCTTTAATTTATTTCTAAAATCTGTATAAATCACTTTATTATTCTTAATTATATTAAATTAAGAAATGAAAATGGTTAGAAGATTTTATCATACTCTTTATTAATTAAGATTAGTAATATGAATTAATTTTTGATCATTTTATTTATTTTAATTATTGGTTTTTTACTTTTCAAAAATGATTAAAAGAGATTACCATAATATATCTCCTGCTTACTATGAGACTGCTATTTATTTTTATATTTTTATGACCCATAAAATTTCGTTTTAAATGATTTTATTATTTTTACTGAAAATCATATCTTAACTAAGTGTACATTTTGTTACTTGCTTAGTATTATGTGAAATTATAATTAACTTAATTTATTAAAACTGTGTTCTAAATGTGTTAAAATAAGTTACCAACAAACAATTGTAAAAAATTAACATGCCATTTTATGAAAACCTCTCAATAATAATATTAACTTATTATAAAACATCGAATATTTACATCTTTAATATTATTAATATTTATTAATTTATAAATATTTTATTTATGACCATAGTATATTAGCCAATGTCTTTAATATGTACATAAAAAAATACAATTACGTTATAAACAATAATGTTTAATACAATTTATTTACCTATATAAATATGTTAATGTCACATATAATATTACTTTTATTCTTGTATAACCATCATTAACTTTTTTAAATGCTACACAATATTTGTGAAGAACAAGTAATTATTTCTTACAATCACGGTCGGATTTGGAGTTACAGAAACAATTTAAAAACTAAATCGCTCAATTTTTATTAGAACATCAAATATTTTATTAACACCCTGATTTGAGGTCCTGCAAAATAACCTTTTATATTTTAATTACATATTCTTTTAGATACAAAAACAAACTCTCATTTCGATCTATTGTCTTTGTAAAATGATTGATTAAGCCTAATTTTATATGCAATAGAAGAATTACTTCAGATGGCTCTACAAGGGGTAAAAACTTCATATTTTTATACACGCATATATATTTTTGCAAGTAGTTTTTTCTGTTTCAATTGTCCCATTCTTTGAAAAGTAACAGAATTTAGTATAATCCAGGTTAAGTCCAAATAATAGAACAACAACTTCTAAATCGCCAGAGATTTTAAAATAATATGTACTATATATGATTTAAAAAAAAAAAATAACTCCATATCTTCATAAGTTCCTTTTATATTAGTAGTATGGGCCAACGGTACATGAGGAATTATTTTTTGTTATACAGTAACACTGCTTATAGATTTGTTGTAGAAGAGTTAATAAATAAACACCTCTACTATTAATCAAAACCGATTTTCACAATCATCATAACATTACAATACACCATGTTTCCATCTTCAAAAAAGTATGATCTGAATAATTGATCAAGATTTCGAAAACAGTAAATTTTACATTAGAATTCTAATTATCTGGATCAAATAAAACCATATATTTAAAATATTTAAAACAATGTTTAAAATTTAATACATTTTTATTATGAAATGGGATTTACATATGTCATTTAGATATACAGTAAAAAAAAATGAATACCTGTGTAATTTAAAATTTTGATTAGATATAGCTTGTTATTGATCTTTGACGTAATAAATCATACATTTTTATTGTGACCAAGTCCTATACAGTTGTAACAACTGTACAGGATCTCTTAAAAAAAATGAAACAATAACAAATACTAAACACAAACAAATTAAAAGAAGTGCATGATCGGAGATAGGAATAAACTGTACGTTTTTATAAAAGTATTATTGAATGAAAAATAAGGGGTAGTATTATTAATAAATCAAACTTTATATACAGAGTGATCGGTTTATCATAAACCATTTGATTAATCTCAAAATATTACAGTATCAGAAAAAAAATTTCTTTTAGTTTCATATATTTCTGGATTGTTTTAGCTAATAATTACTATTTTGAATCATCTCTTATAACTTAAAGGGATGCCAACAATATTTTTTTAAATAGCAACATACATATATAACTAACTTATAAAATATAAAATAATCTAATTAAGAAAATTATTGGTTGTTAACAACTTTTAGACAAGTACTTTGGATGTTATTCTCATTTTTATATCTAAACGGTATGAAGAGAATGGTTGGGAAACAACTGTGCTCAAAATAGCAGTACCCACTCCTTACCTCCAATAAATATTTTGCAATGGGAATGACATCCAAAGTACTGGCCTAAAAGTTGCTATCGACCATTTTCTTAATTAGATTGTTTTCTACTTTTCATAAATTAGTTATATATATATATAACATATATATATATATATATATATATGTTGCCATTTAAAAAAATAAAGTTGACATGTCTTTAAGTTATAAGAGATGATTCTAAAATGTAATTATTAGCTGATAAATCCAGAAATATATACAACTAAAAGACATCAAATTTATTTTTCTGATAATGTTTTTATTTGAAAGTAATCAATTGGTTTAGTATAAATTGATCACGCTGTATTATTCGATAACTAGTTGATACATTAAAAATTA